GGCCGGTGTCCTGCATGTTTTCCATCCCTCCCTGCTGCAACACACCTGATTCAAATGATCAGGATCACTATCAGGCTCCGATAGAGCTTGCTGATGAGCTGTTCATTTGGATCAGGTGTGTTGCAGCAGGGAGGGATGGAAAACATGCAGGACACCGGCCCTCGAGGACCGGACTTCGACACCTGTGGTTTAAAAGGTCTCCCGGCACGACCACTCATTGTCGGGACATTGTTTGTTTGCTTGTTGCTTGCAACTTCATGTTTGTTCTGGTCATGTTTCGGTTATTGAGTTTTTGTTTCAGTCATGGTTTTTGTTTGATACTTTGGATTTGTTTTGTTGTTAGGACTTTGTTTGTTTAGGATTTAATTTTCTGTGTTTTATCAATACACTTCTTTAAGTACACCCTGCTCCTCCCTCCTGCCTGCTTTTTGGGGTCCACCACCACCTTGCAAATGTGACAAAATGACCCAACCCCCTGAACCCTGCAGGTACAAAGGACTGGTCCCTATTCCACCATGTGCCTGTAGGAGCACGTCTGCAGCCGACACCCTTTTCCCCTTCAGGCAGCGCTGGTGATGTGGCTGTCCCATGTTTTCATCTCGTCAAGCCATGTCTGTGGTGGGCCGAGCCCCGTCCACGTTGAGCTGAGGCTTGTCACATGTCTGTTTGAGCTGGTTCACGGCCACGACGAGCCGTGCCACATCCACGCCCACGTCAGGTCGAGCCCCTGTTCATGTCCGGCTGTCCCATGTCCCCCGCTACATCGAGCTCCGTCCAAGTCAGGCCAAGCCCAGCCAAAGGGTTGCCGTCGCTTCTTGTTCCTGTTCCCTGGCAAGGCGAAGGTCGCCGGTCGCTTCTTGTTCCTGTTCTCCGGCGAGGAGAAGGTCGCCGTCGCTTTTGTTCCTGTTACCTGGCGAGGCGAAGGTCGCCGTCGCTTTTGTTCCTGTTCTCCAGCGAGGCAAGGGTTGCCGTCGCTTTTAGTTCCCGTTCCCCGGCGAGACAAGCCTTTGGACGACTTTGGGGCGTCTGGGATCCATCCCTTGAGGGAGGGGTACTGTCATGTTTTGGTTTGGGACCAACAGGTAGCAATGTAGGGTTTCCCCTGCAGCTGCACACCTGTTGGTCGTTATGTAATTATTAGTGCTTTAAAAGGACTCCCAGCCCGACCACCTGGACCCCGCAGGTACAGAGGACTGGTCCCTATTCCACCATGTGCCTGGTGGAGCACGTCTGCGGCCGACACCCTTTTCCCCTTCAGGCAGCGCTGGTGATGCGGCTGTCCCATGTTTTCGTTTCGTCAAGCCGCGTCTACAGTGGGCCGAGCCCCGTCCGCGTCCACGTTGAGCCGAGGCTCGTCACGTTCTGTTCGAGCTGAGTCACATTCACGACGAGCCGTGCCACGTCCACGCCCACGTCAGGCCGAGCCCCTGTTCACGTCCGGCTGTCCCTGTCACGTTTTCGGGCGAGCTGAATAAGATTTTGGATCCCAATAATCGCAGACGTCAACAAGATCTCCGTGACAAACAAAATCGTTTAATGTTTATAATAAGAATGGCTAACAAAAAGCGCTTGCATCCAAAAGGCAAGGGAACAAAAATAGAACAGAGTATGCCAAAGAAAAACAACGTGTAGAAAAACGCGAGAAAAATCCAATATGTAAAATAAAAGTCTGCCGAGCAGAGAAAATAGTACCGAGAAGCTAGAGCGATAACACGACAAGAACGATAACAGGTCAACGAGCGTGGAAGTAGCAATGCAATAAACAATACTCTGACAACAGATGCACCGCAGAAGAGTCCTTAAATACAGATTCTCATAATTAAAGATTGGCAGCAGGTGTGCACCCCGAAGACCGCTTATGCTACCTGCTGGCCAGACCGAAAAACAGAACCGTGACAGTCCCATGTCCCGCGTTACGTCGAGCTCCGTCCACGTCAGGCCAAGCCCAGCCAAAGGGTTACCGTCGCTTCTTGTTCCTGTTCCCTGGCGAGGCGAAGGTCGCCGTCGCTTTTGTTCCTGTTCTCCGGCGAGGCGAAGGTCGCCGTCGCTTTTGTTCCTGTTCTCCGGCGAGGCAAGCCTTTGGACGACTTTGGGACGTCTGGGATCCATCCCTTGAGGTAGGAGAACTGTCATGATTTGGTTTGGGACCAACAGGTGGCACCGTAGGTCTTACCCTGCAGCTGCACACCTGTTGGTCATTATGTCATTATGTAATGGTTTAAAAGGACTCCCGGCACGACCACTCATTGTCGGGTCATTGTTGTTTGCTTGTTTGCTTCTGTCAGTCATGTTTCAGTCATGTTTCGGTCATGTTTCCGTTATGTTCTAGCTTCAGTCATGATTTTTGTTTGATACTTTGGACTTTGTTTGTTTTGGATTTAGTTTTCTCTGTGTTTTTATACAATTCTTCAAGTTCACCCTGCTCCTCCCTCCTGCCTGGTTTTTGGGGTCCTCCACCACCTCCCAACGTGACAGTTTGTGTCATGTTTTCACTCCGACAGAAACCATATTTAAAACCAAAAAATACATTTCCCTCCCACATTTTTTTCCATTTTCAAACATTTTTTCGAAAGCTCCAGGGAGCCACTAAATGGCGCTAAAGAGCCGCCTGTTGCCGATCCCCGGTTTAGACCCTTAAAAACAGCAGAGTTTATCTTTGCAAATGGCACATCGACACAGCAACATCGTATGACATCATAAAAAGCTTCCAATAGCTCTTTATCTTAATGAAACATGTTTAGAAGAAAGTATGAAGATGATCCGGAAAAAATCCTTCAGTGGATTTAGTCAAAATATAACCTCTTTAGAAGGCTAAAAATGGCGTCCGATTGCCAAATTTAAAGTACAAGTGGCATACTTCTATTGATGTGTCGGTCGCGAACGAGCCGGTACAAAGAGCCGGCCCTTTGAAGAGAACGATGAGTGCCGGCTCTGTCAATTTCTCTCTCTCGCTTTCTCCCTCTCTGTGTCGCTGTCTCTTTTTCACGTGTCTGAAGCGAGGTTTGGCAGTGGCTCAGCTGCCGTGCTCAGAGAAGGAGACGGGAAGAGAAAGGGGGGGAGGGGGCGAGGGGCTTGGTAGGTACAAATAATTACTGAGAGAAGGAGCCAGATCAGCCCGTCCAAGTTGAAGTATTTAGTTTTGTTGAATGCAAATTTAAAATTAAGCAAGGAATAGCTTATGTTTGTTACAATAAAGCAAGGAGTAGCTTCGGTTTGTTTTGTTCACTGCTGCTGTTGCAGTTACTACTCACTATTTTTGTTATGATGCAGCATGTTTGACTGTTGTTGGTTGAAGTTTAATTTTGTTGCTTGTTTATTGTTTGGAGCCTTTTTAATGTTCAATAAAATAAATAAAAACCCTTTTCTTTGCCTGATAATTGTTACTATTTGCAGTCAATAGAGTGCAATATTTAGTTCACCAAGTCATTCATCAAAATGTATGCTAAATTTGTCATAAATATTTCAAAGAAAAGCTAAAGTTAAAAGAGCCGTTTGAGAGCCAAAAAGAGCCGGCTCTTTTCACTGAGCCGATCCAAATGAACCAGATCACCGAAAAGAGCCAAAAATCCCATCACTACACACTTCCTGTTAGGTTTAGCAGATGGCTTTGAATGTTTTTTTTTTTTTTTGTACATAAGGAATTATGAAACGCAAAATCTGATGCCAGTAGCGGATGGTGCAGTGTTACACATGCCGGACTTGTGTGCAGGCAGCGTGTGATTGGTTCCCACTCAGTGACGGTGTGAATGTGGGTGTCAATGGTCGTTTGTCTCTTTATGTGCCCTGTGAGTGACTGGCGACCAGTTCAGGGTGTGGATTGCCTTTCGCTCGAAATCAGCTGGGATAGGCTCCAGCGACCCTCTTCAGGATAAGGTATGTTGAAAATGGATGGATGGATGGAAAATCTAATGCCTCACCCCATATAGTATAGATGGAGTCCATCATTTTTCTTTGTTCCATGCCACCTGGAGAAGTAGATCCCCTTTTCTCCGCCATCTCAGACAGGTCTGCACTCTGTATGTTCATTGACATACTGTAGGTGGGTGGGTGGAGGTTTTGACAATACAGTCAAACCTCGGTTTTCGTCCATAATCCGTTCCAGAAGGCTGTTTGAAAACCGAAATTGTTCGAAAACCGAAACCACGCTCTTTTCAAAATAAAATTTTTACTGAACATGTCTGCTCACAATGGAAAGCAACACGAGGAAGCGTCACTTCCTCGTCTACCTGAGGAAGCGTCACTTCCTCGTGTAAGGAAGGCGAGAGGAGTCAAATGGTGCATTCAAGTGCGCTCAGTTTGTTCGAGAACCGAAATTTGTTCGTCATCCGAGGCATAAAAAACTCGAAATTTTTGGTTGAAAACCGAATTGGTCGAGAACCGAGACGGTCGAAAACCGAGATTTGACTAATTAAATTAGTGGTAATTTGAACCTGATTGGAATTTTATTATTATTTTATTATTATTATTATTTTGCAGTTTATATGTTTTGACATAGCAAGGAATTAAAGCTGGGTATTTTTTGATTGTATTATTGGACATTGACCTTGTTTGTGTTTTTTAGTTTTCCAAATGTTGGCTGTGGACAGGCGTCACTTCTGCTGACCACTCTTTTCACTCTGTGTCATCAATGCTAATAGGATGCCTTAAAGCTCTAATGCACCACCAACCAATGTCAATATTGTCTCTAAAATAATGTATTCTGGCTTTGTGCTAGAGAAGTTGAGCAATGACTTTGAAAGGGCAAATCATCGAAAAGAAGTGGTATAATCTTGCATTAATTCAGTATCAGACCTTCACTCTCACACATTCACCATAGTGCCATCTTACACGCACGATACCTATTGGGCATCCCATTTAATTCAGGAATAATGCAGTCTTTGAAATGACAGCTCAGTCTCTCACTTAGATGACCTGAGAACCATCTTAAAGCATTCCATAAACCTCACTTGCTTAAACAAGCGCACCTTATTAAGTTCTGCACTGCAGCAACAAATGTCCACTGTTGACACATTATGGACCATCAAGCCTTTCAGTGAGAGAAATCACAAGCGTGAAATTAATTGGGAAGTTGTTTATTTACACTTCTGTTTTCCTTGTATTGCTCTCTCACAGGGTTGAGCAGAAGCCTTTGGAGGGACAGGTGCACAATGTTAAAAGGGAGCACATGAAACAAGAGTTTGAAGTGCCTTTGAGAAACTTCTTTTTTTAACTCATTATACACGTTCGTACTCCTGTAAACTGTATCGGGCTGAATTGACACAGGTGACTACACTGTTGGCCTGCTGCTGGCATATGACAGTTTTACCTGCGGAGGCGAAGGGGTGGCAGGGTTTTAGTTTTGACAGTTTGCCCGCATTTGTCCTTGCAGTCTCTCGTATTTGTAGTTATGAGGGGATTCATCGTGTCTCTGCAAACTGTATTCTTTGAATACCGCCACCTCCTCTTGACAGATGAGACAGACAGCCTTTTCTTTGCGTTGAACAAAAAAATAATCGTTTGTCCACTTTGGGTTAAATACCCTGCATTCTGCATCTATTTTTCTCTTACCTAGCCTTTTCGCCATGATCCCGTTCTCTTCGAGAGTGGCGGGTTAAGGATTTTTAAGGATTTTTTCTGGGGTTGCCAGATAACGGCACAGACTGCAGGAAGATTCAACAAATGTCACGTTATAGTATATATGTTTATGAAATAGTTACTAATTAATAGTGAATAATGAAAATAGTTCAGAACTAAGGAACATTTTATTGCAAAATCCCAACTTTATTATCAAATACAAATCCACATAGATGAAAACTAAATCAAAATACTCTGGTATTTTCAGGGGGGCCGGACCAAATGCAGAGGCGAGCCAGATCCGGCCCACGGGCTGTAGCTTGGGGACCACTGCTGTATACTAACCTCTCAAAAATCAAGACATTGTAATTGCAATTAATATTAATGCTTCAAAGAATACATTAATCAGAGAATTCTGAACATATATTGTATATACTGAGCACTGA